CCAATTCCCATGGAACACACAACCAATGCTGCTAAGAATTACTCCAAAAATTCTTGAAATTCAGTCTCATGAGAGCTCCACCACTCACCAAAAGAGCTAATCCCACTCTAAAACTTGGGTACGATATCAGTTCCAACATTGGATGTTCCTGATATGGGTACCATGTGGTTAGGAAATAGTGCTAGATGCCTCTTGGAATTCCAGGTAGCCTTTCTCCTTTCAAGCCACATCCAAAACAGAATCTAGGATTTCTTGAATTCACCAAAAGATGTGTTGAAAGGGAGAGAATATACGAAAACTGTTGAGAGAGACAAAAAAAGTTGAAGAGAGAAATTAAAACATGAAGAACACAAGAATATAATATAACTTAGCCACTAAGGCTTGCATCCACGACACACAAAGCCTAAAGGGCTACATCTCTTTCATACATTCTCTACAAGTATTTTATAATAAAGGAATTGCACATTAATCCCCCCCCCTCCCCCCCCCCCCCCCCCCCCCAAAAAAAAAAAAAAAAAATGAAACTAAATATGAATTTATCTAGAGTTTGAGACGAGTAAATGTGAGACGATTTGATTTAGAGATCCGAGACGAGTTGATCCGAAGATCCAAGATGAGACCAGTTGATCTGAAGATCCGAGAGGAGTTGATCAAAAGATCTGAGACGAGACGAGTTGTCCGAAGGTCCAAGATGAATTGATTAGAAGATCCGAGACAAGTTGAGTATAAAGTAGAGCATGATAAACCTACTCTGATACCATATTAACAACCGTTTACTCCAAAAGCTTAATACAACCATGTTAGGCTTTTGGAGTAGATGGTTGTTAACATTAGGGTTACATCTCTTTCATTACATTCTCTTTAAATTTTGTTTACAATAACCACCTCTATTTATAGCTGAATTGGGGATCGGAAGATTTATAGCTAGAGAATAGAAATTTCTTGCTCTACAAGTATTTTATAATAAAGGAATTACACAGAAAGTCAAATACAAATATGGCAATAACTTGTTGCCCAAGTATGGCAATGTTAACATTCTCTCAAGTAGTAATTTAATTAAGGGTTCCTATAATAACATTCTCAACAAAAACATATATATTATTTAGTTAATCATACAGTTTATATATGAGACACTATAGGAGTAGGTGAGTGGAGAATAAGTAAACCCTGAACATATACCATGCTATACATAGTAATGAGGGGTAGGTGACAAAAAGCTCTAGTAAACCCTAGTATACAATGTCATATAACTGTACATGTGTGAGTGTGACAACTAATAATACACGTGACAACTCATACTATTCTATACAACACTCCCCCTCAAGCTAGAGAGTAGATGTCAATTACTCCCAGCTTGCTACATATGGAATCAATAGAGTGCTTCAGAAGCGCATTAGTGCAGATGTCTGCCAGCTGACTTCCAGAAGGAACAAAAGGTGTCACAATCTCATTTGAGTCAACTTTAGATTGAATGAAATGGCAAGCTACTTAGATGTGTTTAGTCCTCTCATGGTAGACTGGATTGCTAGTAATATAAATAGCTGTCTGATTGTCATAATGAAGAGCAATTAGGTACTGGACTGAAATCCCAAGTTCCTGTAAAAAGTCTTCAACCAAATAAGTTCACAGGTAGTGTGTGCTATGGCACGATACTCTGCTTCAGCACTAGAACAAGCAATAACTCAATGTTTCTTGCTCCTCCAAGTTACTAGATTTCCTCCTATGAAGGTGCAGTAACCCGTAGTGGACCGTCGAAGATGTCTAGAAGATTTATAAAGCAGACCATGTCCCGGAGCACCCTTGAGATACTTCAAGATGTGTACACCTGCCTCCATGTGGGGTGCCTGAGGACAGTCATGAAGTGGCTCACAACACTGATTACATGGGAGATGTCTGAACAAGTGATTGTGAGGTAATTAAGTTTACCTACAAGTCTCTAATACTTCTCGGGATCATCGAGTGGATCACCATCATCCACCTTAAGTTTTACATTAGTCTCCATCGGTGTAGCTACCGGTTTCGAACCAAGATATCCAAGCCATCTCAATTCCTATAAAATACTGAAGTTTTTCCAAATCCTCAGTAAGGAAGCTAGAACTCAAGTGATGGATTAAAACTTGTATTCCATCATGATACCACATGTGTTTTCTTAAAAAAAAAGAGTGATCAGCCTGGTTTCTAGTTATACCATGAGCTACCATTGTTGTACTGAACTTATCAAACCATGCATGAGAGGACTGTTTGAAAACATAGACTTCTTGAGATAACACACACTCCCCTTGGACTCAAACTCAAGTGGTTCATCTATATAAACTGTCTCAGTAAGGTCACCATGCAGAAAGATGTTTTTAACATCAAGTTGATGAAGTGGCCAGTCTAGAGTAGCGGCAAGAGAGATAATCACATGAATAGAATTCAGTTTTCCATAGGAGAAAACGTCTCAGTATACTCAAGGCTATAAGTTTGAGTGTAGCCTTTAGCAACGAGGCGAGCTTTGAGACGGTACCATCGGGCTTTTGTTTAATAGTGAAAACCCAACGACAACTAGCAACCTGAGTATCAGCAAGCTTAGGAACAAGGTCCCAATTTTAAGCATTTATTTTTTCTTCCATAGCTTTCCTTGGATGAGAAAATGTCTCCCTCTAGGACTTAGGAAGAGCAATAGAGGATAATGACAGAGAAAAAGCTTGAAAGGAGGAGGATAATTTAATATATGATACAAAATTTTAGATAGGATGATTGGTACAAGACCTTTTAGCTTTCCGAACAACAATAGGATTATCAATATCAGAGTCCGAAGAGATGGAAGAATCTCTAAGCGTTGAAGCGACTAGTGGAAGTGGCAAGACTAGGTTTACTACAATTATTGGAACATGATTAACTACTCATTTCCGGTGATGAGCATAGACACAAAGAGCTGGTGGGATGTCAGAATCAAAAATTGGAGTTGGAAGAACATATTGTTGAAGAACAGAGTCCTCATAATAATTGCCTTCGTGAGAATAATAAGGAACATTCTCAAAGAAAGTTACATTTGAAGGCTAGTCTTGTTGCAAAGGGGTATATCCAGACCTATGGTATTGATTATGATGAGACCTTTTCCCCTGTTACGAAGATTTATTCCATCCGAGTCCTTATTTCCATTGCCGCCAATTGTAATTGGCTTTTATTTCCATTAGATGTGAAAAATGCCATCCTGCATGGTAACTTACTTGAAGAAGTTTATATGAAGCAATCACCTGGATTTGTTGCTCAGAAGGAGTCTCATCATGCTGTATGTCGCCTTAAAAAGGCCCTGTATGGATTGAAACAATTTCCAAGGGCTTGGTTTGAAAAATTCTTTGAGGCAACACTTGCCTTTGGTCTTAACAGATGTGAGACGGATCATTCGATATTTCACCAACATACTAGAACTGGTTTTATATTTTTTGTGGTGTATGTAGATGATATTGTTTTCATAGGAGATATTTTGACGGCATTGCTAAGTTGAAATTGTTTTTGCAAAATCGGTTCCACACTAAAAACTTGGTTAAAGTCAAATATTTCTTGGGGATTGCGGATGCTAGATCCAAGGAAGGTATAAGTTTATGTCAAAGGAAATATGTGTTGGACTTATTAGAAGAAACGCGTATGTTAGATGATCGTCGTGATGATGCTCCTATGGATCCAAATTTAAAACTCTTATCCGAGGGTGATCTATTTGACGATTATGGCAAATATCAACGTCCAGTTGGGAAATTAATTTATCTCACTATCACCCGACGTGACATTTTATATGCAGTTAGTGGTGTGATTTCATGGGAGCTCCTAGTGTACCACATTGGAATGTTGTTCTTCGAATTATTCAATATTTTTTTTCCCCTGATTGAAATATATATATATATATATTTATATATATATAGATATCTCAAGCAAGCTCTAGGTTTTGGGTTATTATATAAATCGAATGGTCATCTTAGGTGGGAGTGTTGGAATATTTATGCGTATATATATTTTTATGTTGGGCCAAATTGTAATTATGTATAGTTAGTGGCCATTATGTAATTAGGCCTTTCTTGTGTTTGTATATATTGTCCCTATTTTGTTAGGGTTAAGAATAATGAGAATACAGCGTCTACAGTTAATTTTCTACAACATTCACACTTGTCCAGAAACTTTGGAACCTCAATACCTAGCAAAGAAAAAAAAAAAAAAAAACAGAAGAAAAAAGAAAAAAAGTGGGATCCTCTGTACATAAGTTGATCTGAGAAAACCAAATAGGCGGATGCAAATTGAACACTCAGTTGTGTTGATTATGGATGATCTAATTGAAAGCTGTTTTATGAAGAATAAACCTAGTTATGTGTTTTACTACTTGAACAATCCACATCTGGGACACTAATGCATAAGTTTCCATTTACCCACAGAATTTCTTTAAGCTAGCTCATTGAAGTATTATTGTTTCTTTGGCAGCTATTCTTTTCAAACTCCAGAGGGTTGGAACATGGAGGACCAGTACAGATCTCTAGGCTACATGCGCCCTCTGGCCATATGGGCAATGCAATGGGCGTTAACGCAACCGAAACCTTGCGAGCAGGAGACGAAGCCAGAAGTAAAGGAAGATTCTTTGTTCAGGCACCATGCTGGATTCTCAAGAGTTGCTCACCTTCTTAAGCTGCCGGAAGAGGAAGCTTCGAGAAGTCTTTTGCAGGTTCTTTATGATTACACTTGCAAAAGAGTGTTGTGGTGAGACAAGTTTCTATCAAAATTTTGAATTTTCAAGATGGGCAAAATCAAATGCTGTATGTTGTTGGTTCATCATTCAGAATAAGAAAACATGAAATATAATTCGATTTAACCAAACTATTGGAATCGTGAAATGTATTGTTGATGGATTAAATAAGTTATTGAGGTCAACAACTTATTTTTAGTATGTACATTATTACAATGTGGTAATCAAAATTGTTGATAACAGAAAAAACCCATAACAGAGAGTTGGGACTAACAATCTGTTAAATCAAAATTTGGACTAGCTTTTTATATTTTGCGTGATCTATTGCTCTTCCCCAAAATTGTTGATAACAGAGAATTGCCACGTGGTAAAATCTGCTAACTATATGCCTACAAAATTTACATAGAAATCTCCCAACTACAACCACAAAAAGTAACATTAAATGCCACGTGGCAGTTGCCAATTCATCCCTTTTGGGAAGAACCCTACCCAATCAGACTCCAAGCCTTCCACAATGCTTGGATCACCAACCGTCCTCTTCCCCAACCACCCTTTATATAAACAGAAACTTCATTCAAATTCATTTTTTCAACACACAAACTTTAAAACATAATCATCATTAACTGCTGATAAAAAAACAGGGTGCTCAGTTCACCGGGGCGGTTTTCCGACGAAAGGGAAACCGCTCTTCTCACTGGGATTTGCTTGTATTATCTTAGGATTTTGGCAAAACAAACATATTATTTTTTATTGTTTTGAGTTCTGTATCTCCTGTTTTTTTGTTGGTTCTGGTGAGATTTCTGTTCTGTAATTGTTACTAGTTCTCATTGTTTCTTAATTCTTTAAAATCTTGGGGCTGAAGACCAACCTGTTTTTTTTTTTTTTTTTCCCTTGTAGCTATTTCTTGATTCTCTGTTGTTTTTTTTTTTTTTCTAAATTTGTTGTATATTCTTTCATATTGAGTTTAGATATATATTGGAAAGAGAGAAAAAAAGTTGGGATCTCAAATTTATATGCCTTATGAAGGCATAAATGGATGAGATTATGAGTTGAGTTCTGAAACACAATTTGAGATTGTCTTGGTAATTCAGTGAAGATAAAGAAATGGTTGGCCATGGCCAGTGCTTGTCTCCTCAGCCTGGCGATTGGATGAAGGGAAAACTGGTTGGATCCGGATCATTTGGTACTGTCCACTTGGCCATGAACAAAGCCACCGGAGCGCTTTTTGTTGTGAAATCTTCACAATCCGAGTTAGGACTAAAGTTTCTCGAGAACGAGGCTAACATTCTCGAGAATTTGAGTTCTCCTTACACCGTCCAGTGCATAGGAAAGGATGTGACGAACACAGCAAGTACCGGTGAAAAGAGGCTCGATCTTTTCATGGAGTACATGTGTGGGGGTAGTTTGGCCGACGTGGCAGAGAAATTCGGTGGAGTGTTGGATGAGAGAGTGATTCGTTTGTACACGAGAGAGATTCTTCAGGGTCTCAAGTATCTGCACAAGAATGGCATTGTGCATTGCGATCTCAAGTGCAAGAATGTGCTCTTGGGCTCATCTGGGAACGTTAAACTAGCAGACTTCGGATGTGCCATCGACTTGAAGCACTCGAATGAACGTTCAACACATTTTTGTAAATCAATGGGCGGGACGCCTTTGTGGATGGCTCCTGAAGTTTTGAGAAACGAAGGGTTGGATTTCGCTGCAGATATTTGGTCACTAGGCTGCACAGTTATTGAAATGGCTACGGGTAGGCCTCCCTGGGGTGATGTGGTTTCGAATCCAATGGCTGCAGTTTTGAAGATCGCGTGCAGCGATGGGGTGCCTCAGTTTCCGGTGCACTTCTCGAAACAAGGGTTGGATTTCTTGGCGAAATGCTTGGAAAGGAATCCGAAGAGGAGGTGGACAAGTGAAGAACTGCTTAACCATCCATTTGTTACCGGGGAATTATCCGTTGATGGTAGGAATTCAGTAAAGGAAGATGTTTGCTCACCAGCGAGTGTCTTGGATATTAGAAACTATGAAGATGGCTCTGATGAGGATGATTCGGAGGATGAATCGCATGATGGAGGTGAGTTTCCGAGCAGATTTCCATTCTTGGTTATGCAGAGTGGCAGAAGAAATAGTGCGTTGCCAATGCAGCAGCAGGAGAGTGATTTAGGGTCATCAGGAACTTGGGTTACTGTTAGATCAGGTTGAATTTAACACCACATTTTGTATAAAGTTTTGGACAAAAAGAGAGTTGTAAACACTGAGGGATTTGTATGTACAGCTTTCAAGAATAGGTTGTCTGGTATTTTTTTTTTTTGTTAGAGAAGTTCTTCCTTGTCCATATATATATATCCTGAAAAGTTTGAAAATAATCAAAGCAAAGAATCAGATTTGGATTTTAAATTATGCTATGTTTAGAAGCATAGCAAGGGTAATGTATGTGTGTCCTCACACCTCACTAGCTAATTGTATGTTGTTTAGTGAGGGTAGGATATAATACCTCATATATGAGGTTCTAATGCTGTTCTAAAAAAGGGATGCTTGAATGGTCCTAAGAGCAACCGGTACAAGGGCTTGTTTGCTAGCTCTGGAGTCAGTGTTGCTAGTATGTGAATTGGTATGAAGCTAGCAATCTGTGGGACCAGAGAAAAGCTAGCAAACGACATCGCAACAGGTAACAAGTCCTTTGCGAACCAAACAAGCCCCACATGCCCTGCAGCAACGGCTCTTGTCCCTTTTTCTTTTCTTTTTTTTTGTTTTTGTTTTTTTTTTCTTTGGCCCACAAGCAACGACTCTTTTCCCTTTATTTTTGTCTATTTTTTTTTTTTTTATGGTTTTTTTCTTTACTATTTCTTTTTATATGTAATTTATTTTTATTGTAAAAAATAAATTTATGATTTTGATTATTTTATTTTATTTTTTATTTTGAAATAAATATTTATGATTTCTATTTCTTAATTTTTAGAAAAAAATTTTAAAAAAATTTGTCAATGAATTTTTTAAAACAAAATATCATATTGTTAGAAATGATTTTTTCAAATCTTAAAAGTCATATTGATGGGACCACTCTTAAAAGTCCTTTTGTGAACTTGTGGCACTTAAAAGTACCTACAGGTGGGAACAAAATCTCTAAGTGGGACCAATCTTTTATTAAAAAGAAAAAAATAACAAATTATCACTTTAACCTAACGAATTAAAGTCACAGTACATATATATTTTTTTTTTAACAAAAGTGGTGTCCCTCTCCGACTCTAATGCTGTTCTAAAAAAGGGATGCTTGAACGTCCTAAGAGCAACCGGTACAAGGGCTTGTTTGCTAGCTCTGAAGTCAGTGTTGCTAGTATGTGAATTGGTATGAAGCTAGCAATCTGTGAGACCCAGAGGAAAGTTAGCAAATGACATCGCAGTAGGTAACAAGTCCTTTGCGAGCCAGACAAGCCCCACATGCCCTGCAGCAATGGCTCTTATCCCTTTTTCTTTTTCTTTTTTTGTTTTCTTTTTTTTTTTCTTTGGCCCACAAGCAACGGCTCTTTTCCCTTTATTTTTGGTTTTTTTCTTTACTATTTCTTTTTATATGTAATTTATTTTTATTGTAAAAAATAAATTTATGATATTGATTATTTTATTTTATTTTTTATTTTGAAATAAATATTTATGATTTCTATTTCTTAATCTTTAGAAAAAAAATTTAAAAAAATTTATCAACAAATACATATAAATTTTTTAAAACAAAATTTCGTATTGCTAGAAATGATTTTTTCAAATCTTAAAAGTCATATTGATGGGACCACTCGTAAAAGTCCTTTTGTGAACTTGTGGCACTTAAAAGTAAGGTGGGAACAAAATGTCTAAGTGGGACCAATCTTTTATTAAAAAGAAAAAAATAACAAATTATCACTTTAACCTAACGAATTAAAGTCACAGTACATTTTTTTTTTTTTTTTTTCTTGACAAAAGTGGTGTCCCTCTGTGACTCAGACAGAAGTGGCGTCCCTCTCTGACTCTAATGCTGTTCTAAAAAAGGGATGCTTGAACTGTCATGCCCCAAAATCTTAAATACATGAACTCCTGTCTTGTATTAAAGTCTGGCATAACTTTCATTATAGAATCACAACATTACAAAAAAAAAAAAAATAAATAAATCAAATAAAGAGGTAGATTCAACCACCCTCTAATTATTAAATTGATACAACCATAGTATTAAACAACCTTGTCAAAAATAATCCACGATAATTGGACCTAAATGAACTAACTCAAAAGAAAATATCGCCATTCTTATTACAATGCGAAAATTAACTAAACCAAAAAAATACATAAAGCTGGCCAAAATCCATCACCATCATGTGATTCCATCACGTTCCTACTCAACGTGTACCTGAAATGTGATAATAGGGTGAGCTCACAAGCTCAGCAATAAATGCTAAACACAATCATCGTTCAGCAAATTAACCTCACATTGTATTCTTATATATATAAGCAGCTCAAATAAGTGCATTAATCAGATATGTAAATCCCACTTAATTATAAACCCAATAAATATCTATTATTTATTATTTAATAAATCCACATATCTCGCATGAGCCCCTGGCTCCCGTTCAATAAAGTGGTGTGAATCGTATAGTCCCTGACTACCAAAAACACACGTGTGGCTGGATTGTACGTCTACTTCCAGATGATCCCTGATTACGTTCACACAATAAGGGCTCATTAGACCCATGGCCATAACAAAAGGGTAGTGCACTCCCAAATAGGTAGGTCCCTGACCATACCCAAAAGTCATCACTAAGTCAGTCCTGGACTACTCCTCCGACTAATCCAATCATATCCCATGCTTATATATTACACTGAAAATATATAATGATATGTTTATATATACATTAAACAATTAAAAAAAAAAATTCCACCACATGATTTGAGAAGCTAGAAATATACCATAATTTATAATATTATTTAACTACTACTTTGCACAATTCCTAATATTTTAAAATAACTATTGAACCTTATTTTACACTATTTCCAGTAACTCAACCAAAGCCTAACAATAGTTTGCTCGTGGGTTTGCTTGCACATACTGGCCCATTTCATTCTCAAGACTGAATTCATTTTCTTAAGTCTCTAACCAATAACCAATCATCCTCTCAAACTTTACAAGAAGACAAAACCAATTCTAGTCAACCCACAGTTTGTACTATAGCTATCAATTATGACTCATGACCCATCTAACACATAAAGAGAAAATCAATTCTTACAAGTTGTACAACAACCACTAATAGAACTTCAGCTACTCCATGACTATTATATTATAAGTTCTGGAACTCTTACCAGACCAATTTGTTTACATCTCATGACATGCGGCTAACCCATGGTACATTAATTATTTAGAAAAAAAAATGAATCTTATGCTCCAAATTGTACCCTTGTTCACGAATAAAACTATTGTCCTTTGTCCGATCACCACACTGTATCATATTTGTCCACAACTGTGGTTGCTTTATCCATACATGACTGTCAGGAAAACAATATATATATATATATATATATATATATATATATATATATATACACACACACACACACCCACACACACACGTATACAAATCCATATACTATTTTAATTCCCTACTACCTTAACAAACCAATAAATAAAATTATTTTACAGTTTCTATGATCCAGACTTTAAAAATTAATTCAGTCAGTTCATACATGTATAAAGTTATATAAAAATATTCCAGATTAGATCCTTCTATCCCAAGTTCACATAAAAATAACTTAAATATAATTATCATCTTGTTCGTATTATAATTAAAATATTTTATATCAATTTAATAAGACATAATAAAAATAAATTATTTAGACGAAGAACATAATATGCCGAGTCACATTTATATACAAAAGTACAAAGCAAGATTAACTTGCCTGGTATAAATAATTCTTCCTTTCTACGCGACTTCCCGATTACCGTTCCTTTCCCCCGGCTACTGCAGGAAAACACGACGTCAAATCACTCTCTCTGGTCCCTTCTTCTCCCGTTATCGTGCTAATATATCTTTTTATATATATATAAATAAAACGTATTAGAGAGTTATAGAGATATAAGGAGTCTGGTGAGATAAATTAGTTTTTTTTTTTAAATTTAAATTATTTAACAAACTTTATCACAATCACCCATTTAAATTAAAACAGAGATAACCATTAAATTATATTAAGTAAATAAATATATGATATAAATATATATATATGTATTTTACACGGGTCTTACATTCTACCCTCCTAGAAAGAAATTTCGTCCTCGAAATTTGCGTACCTTATTCGAATAGATGTGGGTACTTTCCCTTCATTTCTGACTCTAGCTCCCAAGTAGCCTCTCTCTCATCCTGATGATTCCACTGTACCTTCACCAGAGGTATCTCTGCCCGCCTCAACTGTTTCACCATACTGTCAACAATGCGAACAGGCGTCTCAACATAGGTCGTATTAGGGCAAATCTGGACCTCTGTGCAGTCAATGACCTGAGTTTCATCCCTCAAGCACCTCCTCAACATAGAGACATGGAAAACATCGTGAACAGCTGATAGTCTAGGTGGTAGAGCCAATCTATATGCCACCACTCCAACCCTCTCTGTGATCTCAAAAGGTCCAATGAATCGAGGAGCTAACTTCTCTTTCTTCCTACCAAATCTCGTAACCCCCTTCATTGGTGATACTTTCAAGAACACCAAGTCACCCACGCTAAACTCCAAAGCACGACGGCGTCGGTCTGCATAACTCTTTTGTCGACTCTGAGCTGTGCGAAGTCGATCTCGAATGATGGCAACCTTCTCCGTAGTCTCTTGCACCAACTCTGGCCCCAAAAAACTACCATCACCAACCTCAGCCCAACATACAGGTGAACGACAAGGTCTACCATAAAGTGCCTCATATGGTGCCATGCCGATACTAGCCTGATAGCTATTATTATAAGCGAACTCAACCAATGGTATGTGATCCTCCCAACTGCCCCGAAAATCTAGCACACAAGCACGAAGCATATCCTCCAACACCAGAATGACCCTCTCAGACTGGCCATCGGTCTGAGGATGAAAAGCAGTACTCAAACTCAAAGGAGTACCAAAAGCTGCTTGGAAACTACTCCAAAATCGAGATGAAAAACGAGGATCACGATCTGAGACAATAGACACCGGCACTCCATGAAGCTTAACTATGTCTCTAATGTAGATCTTACATAATTCCTTTACAGTATCAGTAGCTCGAATGGGTAGAAAATGAGCTGATTTAGTCAATCGGTCCACTATCACCCATACTGTATCATGGTTATGTATCGACCTCGATAACCCCACTACAAAATCCATCGTTACATGCTCCCATTTCCACTCAGGCACAGGCAAAGGCTGTAATAGTCCTGCTGGTCTCTGGTG